TGTGAGATACACATTAATCCTTAGATACAACAAAACATTCAAATAGACTAAAAATAAATAAAATCTGTGTGTTCAAGACCACCATATTTAACCCACTGCCTTGTTTTACTTTTACTTTTATCTGTCGTAATTAAACACAGTCTTCATTATTTTACTCTCCTGTCATGACACCGTACGCCTACAGGAGCATTTACCTCTTTTCCTCCATTTAATTTAGCTCCTAAATGTGATTAATCTCCTCAAACTGAACCAGTAACTACAGGATACAGACTAGGAATGAGGTAAAGCATGATAATCATTTTTTTAAACCCCCTCCTGGTTCCGTTCCTCCTCAGGGAGCAGCGAAAAACACAGTTTTCATTATTTTACTTTCTGGTCATGAAACCGTACGCCTACATGAGCATTTACCTCTTTTCCTCCATTTAATTTAGCTCCTAAATGTGATTAATCTCCTCAAACTGAAACGGTAACTACAGGATACAGACTAGGAATGAGGCAAAGAATTGTATATTTTTTAAACCCCCTCCTGGTTCCGTTCCTCCTCAGGGAGCAGCGAAAAACACAGTTTTCATTATTTTACTTTCCCGTCATGACACCGTACGCCTATATGAGCATTTACCTCTTTTCCTCCATTTAATTTATCTCCTAAACGTGATTAATCTCCTCAAACTGAACCAGTAACTACAGGATACAAACTAGGAATGAGGCAAAGATCAAACTGTATTTTTTTTAAACCCCCCTCCTGGTGCCGTTCCTCCTCAGGGAGCAGCGAAAAACAAAGTTTTCATTATTTTACTTTCCCGTCATGACACCGTACGCCTACATGAGCATTTACCTCTTTTCCTGCATTTAATTTAGCTCCTAAATGTGATTAACCTCCTCAAATTGAACCAGTTACTACAGGATACAAACTATTAATGAGGCAAAGCATGATAAGGAATGAGGCACACACCAAACTGTATTTTTTATAATATCTGTTCCTCCTCAGGGAGCAGCGAAGATGCTCCTGGACTCTGAGCAGCACCCCGGGCAGCTGAAGGACAACGTCTGCTCACCAGGGGGCGCCACCATCCACGCCCTGCACTTCCTGGAGAGCGGCGGCTTCCGCAGCCTGCTCATCAACGCCGTGGAGGCGTCCTGCATCCGGACCCGGTGAGGGTTTCAGCCCAACGAACGAGGCCCCGTCGCCCCCGGCAACCACAGAAATAAAAGCAGTTTTCCCCCCGCTCGCTATCCATAAATCAGACGCATTTAGCATCCGCAGAAATGTCCGAGTCTCCTCTGAACGCTCGTTAAAGGACGTTTCCACGTCCACCACACGGAAAAGAAAACGTTTTTGTTAGCAGATGAAGTTTTGTGGTGGTTTTGTTCCTGTGGCGGCTTCTGGAGCTTCCTCCTCTAAATCATCCCACAGGTCTCTGATTAGAGGGCAGGACGGGGATGTTAGAGTTGGGAATTACAGAGAAATGGTTTAGTTTAGGTCAGAAACTCCTCTGGGACCAACAGATTCTGCAGTCGAGTCTCTTATTGGTTCGTTTCTGTCGTTTTTCTGCTGTTTTCTGACATTTTTCCCCATTTTTTAAAAACTTTTTCTGCTGATTTTTTTTTTTTTTTTCCCCCTTCCCCCCCCCCATTTTTTTCCCCTTTTTCTGACATTTCCCCCCCTTTTTCTGCTGTTTTCTGACATTTTTCCCCATTTTTTAAAAACTTTTTCTGC